GAGCTTCCGACCAATTTGTGTAGCTAGCTGTTGACCTTTATTTTTATTTTATTTATTTATTAATCAATTTTATATACCGCCACTCCCCGAAGGATTGGAGCGGTTCACAATATACACATGTAATACAGAACATTAAAATCAAGGAAAATTTCGATCAGCAAGGTTCAAATGCCAGCCTAAATAAATAAGTTTTACAAGCTCTACGAAAGGATAGTAAATCTTGGAGAGCTCATGTCCCCGCTGGCAAGGCATTCCACAGGTAAGGAGCCACTACTGTAAGTGCTCTACGCCTAGTAGACATCAGGTGTAAGGTCCTAAAATTGGGAACTTCAAATAAATTCTGGTCATCTGAATGTGTGATCTCTGGGGTTTGTAGGGGATGAGGCGGTCCCTCAGGTATTCTGGTCCCAAGCCATATAAGGCTTTGAAGGTAAGAATCAGCACTTTGAAGGTAATCTGATACTCACTTGGCAACCAGTGGAGTTGCTGCAGGATTGGAGTGATATGACACCTCACTGAGATCCCTGCAAGAAGTTGGACAGCAGCATTTTGCACTAGTTTAAGTTCCTGGATCACCGATAAAGGCAGGCCTATGTAGAGGGTGTTACAGTAGTCCAACCTTGAGATGACCGTAGCCTGGATCATGGTGGCCAGGTCATCCCTGGACAGATAGGGAGCCAGACGCCTAGCCTGACGCAGATGGAAAAATGTGACTCTGCTCGCGGCAGAGGCCTGGGCCTCCATCGTCAGCAGGACTCCCAGACTCTTTACCAAAGATGATGGGCATAATGTCACACCATCCAGGACAGGCAACTGGATCACCTCTCCATCTGGGCGACCCAGCCAAAGGATCTCCGTCTTCGCTGGATTCACTCTCAACCTGCTGGCATGCAACCATCCAGTAACGGCCTCAAGGCATTGATGGAAATTATCGGTTATGGAGTCTGGTTGGCCTTCCATCCTCAGAATGAGTTTAGTGTCTCAAGCCCAAAGCCTCGTACCAGCTGGGCAAGTGGTCGCATAGAGATGTTAAACAGCAGAGGAGAAAGGATAGCCCCCGAGGGACCCCACATTTAAGAGGGGCCCTCTTAGAGACCGACCCTTCCCACTCCACACGTTGACCCCGTTTTTGCAGGAAAGAGGACAGCCATTTAACTGCCATCCCCCTAATTCCAGCCATGGCTAGGCGGTGAATCAAAAGGTTGTGATCAATCTTATCAAATGCTGCTGTAAGGTCCAGTAACACAAGCAGTGCTGATCTTGATCCATCTGGCATCTCCGTCCCATGCCCCTTATGAAAACTGGACTGGAAGGGATCTAATATTGAGTTAAGGAGGTGCCAAACTGCATTAATTCTACAGTGAAGACATCCCCTCTGTTCTTAAATGCACAGACCAGAGATTACCCATCCTCATCCCACCGCTACTTTTCAAGGAAGTGGAGAAGTAGCCCATTCTGGACCAAACCTTTCTGTGCTCTTGCATTTGGTTATTAATGCCCTTGCTGTCTCCTCTTTGCAAGGCATTTGATCCTTCCACCTGTTGCTTGGACGTACAGAGCAGGGATTATTAGCCTTCATTTGACTAATTCCTTTATCCCCCGGCTTCCCCCACTGCACTGCCCGGCCTGTGGTTGACTTAAGCTCCCTCAGTTTCATTGCACTCACCAGGCGCCTTGCCCTTTGCTGGTCTTCCTTTCTTGCTGGGGGCCATCGTCCATGCTCTTTGACCTATGCCAAGGCTATGCATGTCTCCTTCTTCCTGCTCTTCCTCCTGGTCCTCTTCTCTCTCTTGACCAGTCCTTTGGGGTCCAGCCGGGGCTCAAGCCACCTGCCGTGCCCTCCCTCCTGCAAATGCTCCCCTGACGCCATCATTTCCTGCGACCGAGCTGGCCTCCGGCGCCTCCCCAAGGATATTGCGGCCTCTACCATTTCACTCAACCTTTCCAACAACTTCCTTCGCCTCCTGACTGCCGACGCCTTCAGCAACCTGACCTACCTCAACAGCCTTTGGTTGAGCCGCAACAACTTGACCTTCTTGTATCCCGGAGCATTCAAATCTCTCTGCAACCTGAGGGTGCTCCACCTGAGCCAGAACCCAAGGCTGACCTACCTCCATGCCAACACCTTTGAAGGCCTCAAGAACCTCATCAGCTTGGACCTGTCCCACTGCAACCTCTTTGAGATCCATCCTTTCGTCTTCTCCCACCTGCCTTCCTTGGAAGCCCTCGACTTAACCTCCAACAACATGCGCTACATCCCGGAGGCTTTCCGGAAACTGGTGCACCTGACAAAGCTCTCCCTGGAGAGGAACAACATCGAAGCCATCGGGAGGGACTCCCTCAAAGACATGGTGGCCCTGAAGGACTTGAACCTGCGCAAGAACCGCATCTGGACCATCCAGAAGGATGCATTCCTCCGACTGGACAGGTTGGGTGTGTTGAATTTAGGACACAACCGCCTCTCCGATTTGCCTAAGCAGCTCTTTGCCGGATTAACGCGGCTCAAGACCATGCACCTCGAGGCCAACCATCTCACCGGGATCAGTTGCCCCTTTGGCAGCCTGCGCAACCTGCGGAAGCTGTACCTCAACAACAACCGCATCGCCTCCATTGCCAGCTCGGCCTTCTCCGCCTTGAAGGAGCTGGACTTCCTCCACTTAAACCGCAACAACCTGAGCCACCTCTCCAGCCACCTCTTTGTGGACTTGCCCAAGCTGAGGCGCATCTCTTTGTCTCACAACCCTTGGGAGTGTGACTGCTCCATGTTGTGGCTGGCCACCTGGATCCTCACCTACCAAGGGCTCATCGAGGGGCTCCACTGTGCCAACGAGACCTCTCTGCTCAGCTTCCTTGACCGGGAAGCTTTCTTGAACTGCCCACCACCTCCAAAGTTCACGCGAGAAGATGGTTGCGATGGGGGACACCAGAACGGTGTGTCCCATCTCCCTACCCTTTCTCAGAAACTGATATATGCCCTGCTTACCTGGTGGAGCTCAGTTGCTTTCTCCTTCCTGCCATTCAACTGAGGCTGCAATCTTACCTTATTGTGAACCCTTTGATTTTGGGGAAAATGCACCAGACGAAAAAGAGGTGGGTTTCTTCTCTGTTGGCAACATACTCTGCTTGCTCCAACAAGGCTCTGTCATGCTCAATTAACCAGAAGTGCCATTCATGCTGCAGGCAGGCTAATGGGAGGCAAATTTCACTATTGTTAGACTGGGATGGAGATGGACAGAAGAGCTTAAGAGGGAAGTTCAGGAGGTCAGAGCTTGATGGAGGTTTTGGTAACTCTCCCATGCTGTTGCTTTTTACTATGAGCCTTTCAGAATTATGCACAGTAAGGTTTAGTTCCAGGGCCCCAAATACATGGATCATTAAGTCTCAATATTCCTGATGGTGTAGTAAATTGGTATATTTCAATGAAATGGAAAATTCAAGCTTTGCTTAGAGGTTTTTTTTTTGTTTTTTTTTTTTTTTCGTGTCAGGAGTGACTTGAGAAACTGCAAGTCGCTTCTGGTGTGAGAGTTGGCCGTCTGCAAGGACGTTGCCCAGGGGACGCCCGGATGATTTGATGTTTTATCATCCTTGTGGGAGGCTTCTCTCATGTCCCGTATGAGGAGCTGGAGCTGATAGAGGGAGCTCATCCGCCTCTCCCCGGATTCGAACCTGCAACCTGTCGGTCTTCAGTCCTGTGTGTGTGTGTGTGTGTGTGTGTCAGGAGCGACTTGACAAACTGCAAGTTGCTTCTGGTGCGAGAGAATTGGCTATCTGCAAGGATGTTGCCCAGGGGATGCCCGGATGTTTTACCATCCTGTGGGAGGCTTCTCTCTTGTCCCCGCATGGGAAACTGGAGCTGACAGATGGGAGCTCACCCCGCTTCACGGATCCGAATCGCTGACCTTTTGATCAGCAGTTCTGCTGGCACAAGGGTTTAACCCATTGCACCACTGGGGGCTCCCCACCATTGCGATGAAATAGTTTAAATTAGTGATGTATAACCATCTTTGTATAACACTATGTAACAAATTTGGAAAAAAATTCTGTTTCTGGTTTGAACGTGTTATTTCCTGTTTAAATGTGCAATTTTACTTTGACAGTCCTTGTTCTACTCCAGACACTTTTGTTTTTGTGGCTGCCACAAACTAGGTTGAATTGGCTGACATATTCATTGAAAAGCTAGAGAAGAATGTGCTGCAAAATGCTCCTCCTGCAAAAGCATTTTTGCCGTTGAATACACTTTTGCCATGCTTTTATGATAGAACCAATTAGGAAATAACTGTTATAAACCAGGAACAAAATTGTGTTATGTTGTGTCACGATTCCTTTTTGTGTAACAAAAGACAAACTGTATTTTATGCTGATCTATATTCCGGGGTGTTTTGGGGGACCATGCTGGGTGAAAGGCAGGAAGGGCAATCAATCAAGGAATAAAGTTTGGAATGAATGACTAAATAAACGGAGGAATTGATTTATTCCCTTTGCGTCTTCTCAGAACTGAATGACTTAGAATCATAGAATCAAAGAGTTGGAAGAGACCTCATGGGCCACCCAGTCCAACCTCATTATGCCACGAAGTAGGAATATTGCATTCAAATCACCCCTGAGAGAGGCCGGTCAATCACAGCAGAGGAGGATTTTTGGATGGGAGGATTCACTGTCTGGGTTGTTGTAGGTTTTTTCAGGCTATATGGCCATGTTCTGTTTAAGGAGCTCCATTGGCTGCCATTCATTTTCCAGACCCAATTCAAGGTGCAGGTTCTCACCTACAAAGCTCTGAATGGTTTGGGACCTGCCTACCTGCGTTACCACATTTCTGTGTATGAATTCACACAATCTCTTCGATCATCTGGAGAGACCCTACTCGCGCTCCCACCTGCATCGCAAGCACAATTGGTGGGGACGAGAGAGGGCCTTCTCGGTGGTGGCCCCTCGACTCTGGAACTCAGGCATGCCCCAACTCTGGTGTCTTTAGGAGGAGCTTGAAGACGTGGTTGTTCCAGTGTGCCTTCCCAGAATAATGAACCCTTAGCACTATGTCCTCCAAAAGCACTTTATACTGATTTAGGACTGCTTGTATGTTTCCCCAACTCCTCTATTTTGTTCATGTCCAGCATTATTTTTTAACTTAATTACATTTGGCCCAGCCATAGTTTTTAAATGTGTTTTGTGCCACTGTTCAATGTTTATGCTATTTGTGTAGGAGATTGATTTTCATTGCTTTGTATTAGTATTTGTATTTTGCTTCGCATTGTAATTGTTTATTGCTTGTATTGATGTATTGTGGGCTCGGCCTCATGTAAGCCGACCGAGTCCCTTGGGAGATGGTAGCGGGGTATAAATAAAGTATTATTATTTAGTATTATGGCCATGTTCTAGAGGCATTCTCTCCTGACGTTTTGCCTGCATCTTTGGCAAACATCCTCAGAGGTACCCAGTCTCCTGTGTGCCCAGGGGGGAGTCTCTCATTTGGTATCAGCCATTGGTTGAGGTTCTGGGTTTGAGCCTGCCACTTTTGGACTCTCTCTTGCTGAGGTGTTCCAGCGAGTGTCTCTGTAGATCTTAGAAAACTATTTCTTGATTTAAGTCATTGACGTGCTGGCTGATACCCAAACAGGGGATGAGCTGGAGATGTCTCTGCCTTGGTCCTTTCACTATTGGTTGCTACTTCCCGGATGTCAGGTGGTGCAATACCGGCTAAGCAGTGTAACTTCTCCAGTGCTATAGGGCGCAGACACCCCGTGATAATGTGGCATGTCTCATTGAGAGCCACATCCACTGTTTTAGCGTGGTAAGATGTGTTCCACACTGGGCATGCATACTCAGCAGCAGAGTAGCATAGCACAAGGGCAGATGTCTTCACTGTGTCTGGTTGTGATCCCCAGGTTGTGCCAGTCATATTTCGTATATTATTTCTAGCACCCACCTTTTGCTTGATATTCTGGCAGTGCTTCTTGTAGGCCAGAGCACGGTCCAAGGTGTCTCCTAGGTATTTGGGTGTGCTGCAATTCTCCAGTGGGATTCCTTCCCATGTAATCCTGAGATCGGGATGCTTGTCTGTTCTTAAGGTGAAAGGCACATGTCTGTGTTTTAGATGGATCAGGGATCAGCTGGTTTGCCCTGTAGAAGGCGGTAAGGGCACCTAGAGCTTCAGAGAGCTTCTGTTCTACCATCTTTGTAACCGCACCAAGTCCCTTGGGAGTTGGGGTATAAATAAAGATTATTATTATTATTATTATTATTATTATTATTATTATTATTCTAGAGGCATTCTCTCCTGACGTTTCGCCTGCATCTATGGCAAGCATCCTCAGAGGTAGTGAGGTTCACTGTCTGTTTCCAAAAAAGAAGAGAAGGTCAGGCGGAGAGATCTTCAGCCTTCTCTACCAAAGGGGCACCTAAGACCATCAGAATTAGGTGTTTTCTGAAACCTCCCTCACGACCCCCCTAGGCATCCTGACCCCCAGGTTGAGAAACACTGCATGAGTAGATCTCTACTTGTGCTGGAGAGGAAAAGAACCAAACAATTGGGGCTTCACTTTGAGTTTATCCAAAGGAAGTATTCGAACCCACAGCAAAGAACCTAAAAAGAAAACAAGACAGAGCTAGGTTTTGATAGAAATCAGATCCGCTTGTATTTAAACGGTTTTATTTTACTTATTGCTTTTGCCACCATATTACATCATTTGGAGCAATTCAAGACAGCAATATGACCTCAAGGGATAGCTAACGGTGTGCCAAAGCCAGATATGGACAAAAGGCCTTCTTCTTTGGTGATGCGCTTTCCTTTTTCCCCCTTCCCTTTACTCTTCCTTTTTATACAAAAATAGTTTCTTCCTTCTCGGCACATTTGGCTCTTGAAAGTCCCTGATGTTTGTTTGTGGGACTGACCTGGTCCCATCTGTCTAGCTCTGAAAATAATAGCATCTTAAATATTGCATTTGTAATGAATCCACAGATCTACAAAGACGTTTCGATGCGTAAGGCAAAAGACGAACAGAACCAAAAGAGGATTTTTAAAAATTGCATTGGTTTGGTTCTCTGATGAATGCCTTGAAAGGGGGTCCTTCTCCCCTCAAAATGGGTTGTTTTTGAATACCAAAAAAAGGAAACTAGCAAAATAATGGAAAATATGGTGAAGCTGTACAGGGAAAGAGCAGCACCGTATTTGGAGAATACAGCACCGTATTTGGAGAATACTGCTGGAAGACTGATCTTTGGAAGTACCATTGCCTATATCCATACCATGATGGCACGGAATATGGATTCCTGATAGCTTGGATGTCTCCCTTTTTTTAAAAAAAAAAATAACAACACAAAATAATATTTAAAAACACTCATGTTCCTAACCCTAATATGGAAAGAGATGATTTGAACCTATGCCTGGTCAATGCAACCTTTAAAAATGTGAGATTTCTGGTCACAAGACTTCCAGCAGTTGGAACCAGACTTGAAACCAAGCTGAATATGAGGGGCGTTCATTAAAGATTTCCCCTGACCCCCTTCTCTTTATCACAGGACACTGAAACTGCACATGTGTAATGATATAAGTCTCTATAGGTTATGTGCCAATTTACAAGTCAGAAGTGATCATGGTCTTGATTTTACAGGCGCTGAAGTGGCGTGAGGGTTGGTCATGGACCCAGTGGAATACAGAGCAGTCCTCAAGTTCCTTTACTTGAAAAGGTGAACACCAAAGGAGACATTTGATGAGATGAAAGGGGTTGATGGTGAGGATTCCCCATCACATGATGTAGTCAAGAACTGGCATTGTCAATTCCAATGTGGTCGGACTTCGGTGTAAACAGCTCCAATTCCAGGGTGACCCCACTCTGCTATTGATGAACCCGCCCATCCATCATTTTGGAAAATTGCCTTGTAACCATTTGCTATCTAGCCCAAATTAGTGTGGGGTCTGCAGATAAAATCATCAAGACCATCTTCACATGCATAAGAGATTCATTCGCAGGGTTCCCTGGCTACTGACACCTGTCCAGAAGCAGGAACGAGTCGAATGCTCTCTGGCTCTCTTGACAATGATGTGCCATGGAAACCAGGAGAATGTTTTCAACAGACTGATCACACAGGAGGAAAACTGGGTCCATCACTATGATCCTGAGACTAAAGTCCAGTTGATGCAATGGAAGCATCATGACTCACCCTCTCCAAAGAAGGCACATGCCCAACTCTCAGCAGGCTAGGTCATGCTCAGAGTATTTTGGGACCAGCATGGAGTAATATTGATGGATTTCCTAGCAAAGGGTACCACGATCACTGGGGCATACTATGCTTCACTGCTGCAAAAATTGCGAAGGCCATTCAAACCAAGAGACAATGTGGCATGCTCACCAAAGCTGCCCGTCTTCTGCAAGACAGTTCACAACTCACTTGTTGCCCAAATGGAAGAAGCATGCTCCTGTGGTTTTGACTCTCAACCGCATCCCCCT